CCGGGTCCCCCCCAACCTCCCCACTCTTTCCGTCACGTTGGTCTAAGTCCTCAAGGCGGAGAGAAAGGAACCAGAGTGATGGACGGCTACCTATGGCGTTGCCATGTGGCCTCGGTCACGTGGGTTCGTGACGTAAGAGGTAAAAGAATCTTGAGGTCATGGGGCTTCCCCTGACCTAGATTCTATCTCTCCGTCACTGGCAGAATCGCTGATTAATGCCTACAGTTCAAAATAGTCATTTTGACTGACCGGAGTCTATGGTGGGTATGAACTATGTGAATAGGCGGGTTCGGAGAACCCTCGCCTAATTTCATTATTTGTATCACTGGCTTCTCTTAATTTGACATCAGCAGAAACGAGTGGCTTGTCTAAGAGTTTTGATGCTCAGGCCCTATACATTGACAAAAGTTTGGTTTGTATGTTGATCTGGATTGCATTGATTGGAAATCATCTACTGTTTCATTCATCACTGCTGAGTCATTCATTTTATACATGTAACAATCTGTAGTATGATTCATATCATAAATCTGACTACCATACTGGGACTATTTTTAATTCATTACCAATAAAATCAGCCAAACCAAACTTTATTTTAGCTGGAATTAATTTTCGCTGAAAATGACTTTTTGGGTGTTTTGTATGGAATTTATTTTCACTAATTTTTGATGAGTTAAATATAAAATATGGGAAAAAGAATATATTCGCTGGATTTTATTTTCACGGAATCACTCTTTCAGCGAAAATAGCGAAAGTTAATTCCAAGCAAAAATAAAGTATTTCACAGTGCAAAAAAAAATTCTGTTTACTATGAATAGTAATGTTTAATAAATGCAGTTATTTTCTTTAAGATGGTATTTAAACTTACAGCAAGACATGAATTCAGGTAAGATCTACCTGTTTTTTTAATTATCCTGTACAGTCGTTTAGATAATCTGATTTGTGGATAGATTAGTGTATGACTAAACAAGATTTTGGGCCAAAATGGGCCAAATATTTTACAAAATTTCATATTTTGAAGACAATGATAAAAACAAATATTAAGAATAATTTAAGGCAACAAAGTTTTTATATTTATTGTATTTGTGATAGGAGTCTTCACCAATGCTAAAAACCTTCCAAACATTCTCAATAGCTTCCTTTGGGAGCGTTCATATCATGCTCTCTGTCAGTCATAGATCTGTGCAAAGATTAAACCTCAGTGACCTACTTTAAATACAGTTGCTGTGGTTTACCTGTTAGGGTGTAGAATTTGATGTTGAAACACCAAATTCATGTAAAAGGCTGTTGAGTCGTGTGTTTGTCGACATCATCCATCATATAAAAGTAAAAAGGACGATAAAACAAACGAAACGCAAGAGTGGAAATTGGGGCAACAAACAACTCGCAACGTTAAACTAGGACGCCATTTTGAACCAAAGCATGACCTGTGTCACGTGGCTGACAACCATTGTCAGCGTATCTATTAAAATTTATTAATATATATATCATTTATATGTATATCTACTATCATGTGAGGTAACAATTGTTTTTCTTTATTTGTAGTGAGTGCACAACAAATCCAGGGATTTCAGCAAAGTATAGTAGACGCAGAAAAGAGGACCATGACATATATGAAAAGATATAATAAATTACAGGTAAATCACAATCCTCATTTCATCTACATGTTCAGAAGGACATTGTAAAATATAATGACAAAAATGTATACTCGATGGATTATATTTTCACTAAATCATCCCTTCAGCAAAAATGGCAAGTATTTTACAGTACATTGTTTTTATTGCACAATTACATAGTGGAAATAAAAAATAAATGCGTTTATTGGTATAGTGACTGTGCAATATGATGTAATAAAATTTGCATACGTCTAAGAAATTTGTTTTTTGAAAATACCCAGAATGCATCACGTTTTGGTAATTATATATTCAAAAACTAGTTTTCTTGAGCTTATCTATGTGTTGCATGTTTTTTTTTGTTTCAGGGTGACTACCATAATTTGATTGGAATTACTGCTGAACTTGTTGACTCCCTTGAAAGCTGTATTAATGGAAACATGGTAATTTATACCAAATCTTGTAAAAATTTGAATATCTCTCACCAGGGTTAATTTTTTGTCATGTCTTCTTGTGTATATCTACCACTCAGTGTTTCTTTTAAGCATGTGTTGTTGAGAATGCTCACTCTAGGGGTTACACACAGGCATGCAGTTGCCTTTAAAACCTACCCTTGGGAAGGTCTGAGACACAAGCAGCAAATTTCTGAGATGGAAACTGTCCTAGCTTGGATAGGTGGGACCCCAGCAACTGGTCTTGGCAAATTGCAGATTCGATGCAAGAAACCCTCAGTCATTACTGGCTGGAGGTGGACATCATGTAATTGTGCTATAGTTGAAAGTAGTCCCATTGCTAGCAACTTTGAGTCCGATTTGTGAGGTAGCAGATATGCTATAACTCAATTCAGACTACTCTCTCAACAACCATCTTTTGGAATCAGGGAAAAATTTGCTTTGCAATATATTGTAAAATATATTAAATTCTGTAAAACTAAAAAAAAAATGGTTTCTATTTTTATATTTATATTTACTGGTATACTTACTATTAAATTACAATTACTGTAAAAACTTAACTAATTAATTAATTTAGTTTGCAGTTTCTATTAATTTGTGCACCTGATTCATTTTTATGCGCTCATTATTAGTTCCTGCTTGGACATAGTCCAAAAACAAGAACTTGTATTTTCATTGCTGTGCGTCAGTGCGTCAATCCCTGTATCTCAGACATGCCTGGTCTGAGTACCTTCAAACTTCATACACAAATCACACATCATGTCATACATGTGCACATGCATTTGTTTCATGATCCAAATTCAAAATGGCCGATTGGTGTCCAATTTAACATTAAAAATGCATCAAAAACAAAAATTTTGGTTGTTCTGGAACCAGATCATATTTCATTAAAGCTTTGTATATACATTGAACATAATGGGTTCACAAGTAATAATAAAATTATAGAAAAATTAATAATTATTAACTAACAACTCATCTCTGAATTTTCAGGTTACTCCAGAATATCTCCAAACTGTGTGTATAAAATTATTCAGTAGTCAAGTACGGGAATCAATGGACATCAGCAGACCAGGAACTGTGAGTCAAATTCTTCATCTAAGTTCTTCTCAATTTGCTGTAATGTTTTATTAATTGTCCCATGGCTGTATTAAACATTTATTGTGAGTGGCCTGTTAAAACACCATGCCTATCATGCAGCAAATTGGTAAATTGCAATTAAATATCTTATTGAAAAGTATTATGAAATATTGATGGGTTAAATTAAAAAGAAACAAGAAATTTATAGTGTTTGGAATAGTGGCCTCCTATGTCTGTACATGCAGCAAAAACATGGCTTCCCCCCAGGAGCCTCTTTCTGACAGACCTCTCCCCCAGGAAACTGTGAGGGCACCAGACTTACGAAGAGTGTCTGGTCCTCTCAACCACTGGGGTTGCACTAGAGAGTCAATCATGGTACACTGACTGGTACGTCTGATATTTGTGTTGTTATGGTAAACCTGTTTCATTTTAATTATTCACATAATTCCATTTCCTAACATCTTGCAGGCTGGTTCGTTACTCCGAGCATCAGTTCTTCCACACAGGTATGATATATTTAACATGTTTTGAAAACACTCACATATTTGCTTTATTGTACAAATCTACCCTTGTGAGATTGAAGGGTGTGTAATCCAAATGAGGGATTACTCTGAACTAACCACTAATTCCTACCCTACCTTAATTTGCCTTACAGTGTATTTTCTCTAACCATGTTGTTAGCTCTGCTTCTATTCATATTGACTGCCTTCAGTAACAAGTATTATCTTTTTGGCTTCTTTTTCAAAATCTGGTCCTTATTGAGACAGTTTGATATCCATCTGACCTGTTTATTGTGTGACTTTACTGTTCCTTATTTGTATGAATAATTTATAGTTTGTTTATGGAAAATAAACTCTGGTAGTAATGTTCAGAAAATATCAGCCATTTTTTTTATTTATGTGGAAAATATCTTGATAAAAAACATGTATAGGTTCTGTTGGTGATTCCTCTGCAGTTGGATGTTGATTTTAATTCCAAATACATCCGAAATTTTTTTATGTTTATTGGAGAATAACTTGTTTTTTGGCTGAATTTATTCAACTCGGAATTTAATTTTGCTGGGAAAGTTGAGGATTATTTTGCTGTTTTGTAAGAAGCAGTATCTTGTAAATTTTTTTTCTTCAAATTTTATTAAGGTTATTATTAAGGAACGCATTTTGGTGAGAAAAATTATAGCATTCAGTCGGTTGAGTTTGAAAATGTCATCATTTACATGGTATACTGCAATTAACACAACTACAATGATTTTTTCACAGTCTCTCACCATCACCAGTAGAACTCAGGTAGAACCTCTGTGATAATTAGGAATTGACACTAATTAGCTCTCTTTTAGTTATTATGTTAATTAGTTAAAAGTGTGGATGGTTGTTTTTTTCTCCGTATTTTCTGCCTTTTCTGTTTCTGAAACCTTAGTCATTTTCATTTCTATGAATGTAAACCTTAGATTTATTATTTTTTTTAATTCATGTTACAAAAAAAAAATTAAGGGGTCATCGTAATTAGTTCGCAGAATATTGATTTCCAAAATGGAGTAAAATTGTAATTTTTTTCTGTTTTAGGGTATATTTACCATTATTTCCTATGGCATGAATATATTTGAATATCTCAAAATTTGAGTCAATGACATATGTTAAAAAAAAACGATGGATATTATAGATATATTTGCTTTGTTTGCTCTCCAATAGAAGCACACCCAAGGCTAAAATACTCTGTTTTTTGGTAAATTTAACATGTTATTTACATAATTTAAATAAATGTTCAGAATGTACTTGTTCATGTCTAAAAGTATTGTTAAACTTTTGTTATTTTTAGTGGGATTTTAATGATGAAATGTGTCATGGTTTATGAAATACTCGTATATGCCAAAAACATACAAGTAGGATTCACCAGTTTTAAGTTAATAAAATTTGTCAAAAGTAGTTGTTTATCGCCACAATTTTTTATGATTTTCTTTTACTCATAAAATGTAAAGCAGGTTAAAATATACGTTCTTATTACATGTATATCAAATAATTCTGCCCTGGGATTAGGAATCTTATCACAGTGTGGTTGTAGAGCTATAACTTTCTTTCAGTACTATTACTCTATCAACTCTGTATTATAAATTAACGCTTTGTTGTGGTGCCTCATCCATTGTAGTGCTTTATTTTTCTACTAACATAAATAATCCATTTCCATTTTCAGCCCAATAGTGGAGGAATCAAGGTAGCGTGTGCTTTTTTCTCCATTTTGAAATTAGCTAAACATTGCCAATATAACAGATAATATGAATAAATCTAAGTTTCTCTTATTAATCTTTGTTGGAAATAAAATAATCAGCTTTCAAATGCATTAGTTAAAAAATGTTATGCATTGCAATACCAAATTCTTGTGTAATGAGAGATAAACCTTCCAAAAAAACACTATTTGCCGCCAACATCTGACACCCATAAACCCATAATGCATTGCCGACTTTTACCCCATAGGCTGACATTTTCTATTTGGAAAAAAGTTCTATGTGTTTTGCATGAGGCAACAATTCATTGGCTAGAAATACTGTTTGTTGAAAAAGTATTCACATATGATCTCACCCTGCTGTTGTATTATGTTGTCAGGGAACCCAGTGAGGCAAGTAATGCATTGCCACCATTAGACTATATCAAAGTTAAAAATGATTTGATACATGCTGATGATAGAAGACAAATATTTCTCTTACAAGCATTAAGATGGGTAAGTAACGCATTACTCAACCCTTTGAGTGCTTATTCTTTCCTGCTTAAATTTGAGTAAATTTTTTCACATATTCTATAATTTTCACTTAATTTAATTTCGATTTTGGACCAAAGAAACAAAATTTAACATTGCTTCGTATTTTGTATCCCAAAAAGGCAGCGAGCATCAAGTGTGTTGCATAATTGTTCAAGTCATCAATATACCTTATAGCCGGGAGTTATGGCAAAGTGAGAGAAAAAGATACACACCTGATTATCTATAGTACATGTGTAAATATAATATAAGTAATTGATTCATATTACATTATTTATATATATATATATATATATATATATATATATATATATATACATACATGTATTTAAGACAGTGTTTTTTCTTTGCAGCGACTAACACGGTGTCAAGCTGGTGAACAACGCACTGCAATACTGTCATCCTATTGTTCTAATGATTTACTGGGTTGTAATCGTTCTGGAGAGTATCAGGTAAGAACTGTATGGTGACAAGTGTGGTGGGGCAGTCCATCTATCCTGCCTCGTACGTCCGCATGTCTCGCATATACCGGATCATACACCCAAGTGTTTTTTCACCTTCCATTCCTATACTTGATATGATACTATGAGATTATTACGAGGATATCTCAAAGTATGCACGAAGACAGTACAGCGGGTGTATTGACCGACGTGCAGCTGAGGTCGATGCGACAGCATACTGTCTGAGTGCACACTTTGAAGTATCCTCGTAATAACCTTATTATTATACATCTTTTCCTTCCATGTATACATCATGAGAATGCTGAAATCCAAAAAGTTTAGAACCGTATCAGCGAACTTCTTTGTGTGGAGTCCGGTCAAACCCTGGTGGCAGCCATGTTTGTTTTTATTATTAGTGTATGTTTATGCACATAATCATTCCTTCTTTTGGAATTCGCATTTCCATATGGTAGCATGAAAATACCG